ATTTGATTAAGTAATTATATATTTTTGTTCACATAGTTCACACTGATGAATTCCTATTTGCAACAGTAGTATTATGCAATTTCAAGAATTACGTTGATTAATCAAGATTTTGATTGTAAATCTTTGTTATCATTTGCAGGGTTAAATACCAGAGTGAATATGAAGTTTATACTAATATTGCTAAAACAATATTAACAATTAACATACCTTTTCTTTTAACAATGGAAAAATTTAAATTATCAATTATTCTCCTCCTCTTCCTTCTTCCCCTTCTGAATTCATTGCTCGAGGAAAAACAGGTTCATGCTTTCTTTTCAAACACAGTCTATTCTATGTTGTAATAAAAGTTTTCAAATATAATTCCATCTTCACAGTTTTAACTGAAAAGACATTAACATTTGTTCACAGGTATATATAGTGTACTTTGGAGAGCATAAAGGAGTAAAAACAACCCAAGAAATCGAAGAAAACCATATCTCGTATCTATTATCCGTGAAGAAAACCAAGCAAGATGCAAAGGTTTCTCTTATATACAGTTACAAGCATAGCTTTAATGGCTTTGCCGCTTTTCTCACACAACTAGAAGCCAATAAACTTTCGGGTAAGTGGAAAACATTTTATTTTGATTTTTTTGATTTTTTTCTCGTGTTCTTTTATGTGAACTTTAAGGTGCCGTTTGGTTCGATTTTCGACAGAAAGGGAAGAAGTGGTGTCTGTGTTTCGAAGCTATCCCAGAAAGTACTCGTTGCACACGACAAGATCGTGGGAATTTGCGGGTTTACAAGGGGAAGAAAATTTGAAGAAGAAAGATTCTTTGTTGTTGAAATCAAAATATGGCAAGAATGTCATTATTGGAATGATGGACTCCGGTGAATTCATACTTTTACTATTTTACTTTTTTACTCTGAATGTACCGTAGAAAAAAACAGAACTCGATTTGTTTCTAATCCATTCGGTGCTTGATATATCAGGTGTGTGGCCGGAGTCCCAAAGCTTCAATGATATAGGAATGGATGATATACCGAACTCATGGAAAGGAATTTGTCAATCCGGCGATGGATTCAACTCGTCTCAATGTAACAAGTAAGTCCTTTTAACCGTTTACACCACAATTTTTTCGTTTGATGGCTATGATAGTTGGTAAATAATTGGCCCCGTTTGGTAGATAGCGGATTGAAGATAAATTAGCGGATTGGACTTAATTGAGAGGTTTGACTCGTCGAATCCGTTATTGAGCTTGTTTGGTAAATAGCTTATTTGATAAGTTTTTGGGCCCAAAACTCTAATTTAGAAAAAGCTTATTAGAGCAGCGTGTTGGGGATAGAGGATTCACAAAATATAATAATAAATAGCTTACATGGAACTTTTTAATTTGTCTTATTTATATTACAATCTATATTGGTTTATGGTGCTAATAAATAATAATATGTCATCCATATGATTAGTTTATCTAGAAAAATGTAAAATTCATAACTTCTTCATCAAGTGTTAGCAAATAAATTACCTACTAAAGAATATTAAATGTTTTAATATACTATTATAAAAAGAATACACCCTAAATAATAAAATGTCCTTATTGGTCATTTTGCAATGTCAAACAGCTATAAGCTTTCAGCTATTTACCAAACACTGATTTAAAAACCGCTAATGCAATCCGCTGTTCAAATCAGCTAATATAATTCGCTATCCGCTATCCGGTGATACAATCCACTATCCGCTGATCGCCAAACAAAAGAAAGATGACTAAATTTCAGTTTTGTTGCTATTAGATTAAGAAAGTAACAATTTAGGTCCTACTAAAGTGATATATAGCAATTTAATTCATGTAATTTAAATTTTTTTGCAATTTCAGATATGTTACTTCAGACCTAATTTACTACCTTTATGTGACCAAATTTGTAATTTTGCCAAGAAAGATTATTACCTGGATATCTAGCAAAATAGAACTCTTTTGATCGTTAGTTACTTCTTCGCATGTACCCCTTGTAGCATTCAAGTAATGCCCTTTCATTTCACATGTGTATATTCAAAGTACAGTTATATAAAAGTCAAAAGTAGTTGTGTCTTTTAGGCGTTTGCCATTAACCGGTGGTATATTTTACGGGACAATTTCGTCTTAAAGAAAAAAAGAGAACATAAACTATTACGTGCCTTAGACTTAATTTGTTATGTGTTTTCATTTTCTTCATTCTCCTTATGTAATCTTCTTCATATTCACACAATACCAAACTCATAGAACATCGTAGATACACCACGATTTTTTGTTCGAAATGACAAGTGATCCGTAAGCCGTCAAACTCACACAACATCATTTTACCTATACACCATGATTTTTCGTTTTGAAATGGGGAGTGATCCGTAAGCCGCCTTGCAGGAAAATCATCGGCGCTCGATACTACATCAAGGGCTACGAAGCGCAGTACGGCCCGCTGAACCGAACGTTGGACTACCTCTCCCCGCGCGACATGGACGGCCACGGGACCCACACGGCGTCCATTGCAGCCGGCCGGGAAGTCGGTGGCGTTTCATCCCTCGGCGGCTTTGCCTTTGGCACCGCCTCCGGTGGGGCCCCGTTGGCCCGCCTGGCCATCTACAAGGTGTGTTGGGCCCTACCGATAGACGGTGGGGACTCGAGGGATGGCACGTGTTTCGATGAGGACATACTTGCTGCCGTGGATGATGCAATTCGCGACGGGGTCCACGTGCTCAGCGTCTCGATTGGCTCGTCCCACCCAATAACCGACGACTTCCTCGCGATCGGGGCTTTACATGCAGTCAATAGGGGAATCGTTGTGGCCAGCAGTGCCGGGAACTCGGGGCCCGCGAAGGGAACGGTGGTTAACGAGGCACCTTGGATGATCACGGTCGGAGCCAGCAGCATCGACAGGCGGTTTCCCTCGCCTGTCCTACTCGGAAACGGCCAAACTATCCCGGTAACTTGTTTGTTTCGATTTTTTAGTTCGTTTTAACAGGAATGTAGGTAATGATATAAATTTTGTTTGAAAATATCCAAACGCAACTCAAATTTAACTCTACACAACCCTCCTCAAGATTATCAAAATATTTAAATAATACCATATAAACTTTAATCGACTCTATTTCAAAACCCATGAATTGATCGTAGCCAGACCCCGCCTGGGGTTAGCTTGACTTTTGGTCCCGTTTCTGGTGTTTTAGTCACCTTTCAATGGACAGAGAAGTCAACCTTCTTTCCTTTGAGACCCGAAAGGTCTGGGATGCAGTAAGGAGTTTCCAACCGGGATTGAGTACCCGACTAAGTTTTAGGCTTGACCCTAAACTAAAGGTTCGATGTAATTGACCTTTGGAGGCTCCTAGGGGACAAGACAATAAGGTAGAAAGAGCGGAGATACGGGCTAAACCTAATAAAATTCTATTCATCCACTCGTATAATTTTAACTACCAATCACTTTCAATCAAATCTCTCGTACTTCTACAGCAAGTTTACTTTAATCATTTTATTTTAAATGTTATTTTGATAAAAACTTAAAATCTAACTAAACCTAACTCAACCAAAAATTTCAAAATTAATTCTGGTTAAAAAAAAAAAAAGAAATCAATCACAACTCAATCTAACTTGTGTCCAAGCAAACACTAAAAGCTTTCGTTGTCTGGTTATTCGTTGCATTTTTTCTTTTTCTTCTTTTTTTCGGCAGGGACAAACGGTGACCCCGTATAAGCTGGAGAACAACAAGAAGTATCCATTGGTTTTTGCAGGTCAAGTAATCAAGACCGGCGTAGACAAAGACGTAATCGGGTCAAGTCTTGTTCTTTTCTTGCTTAATAACAGAAAAAATGTTGGTTTATTTAGAATGAACTGTAATATTTGTTTGTTTGTTCTACAGGCAGTGTCTACCGGGTTCCCTTTCTCTGAAAAAGGTCAGGGGAAAAATTGTACTTTGTTTCTCAGGAAACGGAAGTCGAGCAGGCAAAGGCATGGAGGTGAAGAGAGCCGGAGGAGCAGGCCTCATCTTAGCAGATAGTGAAAAGTATGGTAATTTGTTTCTAGTCGAGGCACACATTCTTCCCGCCACCAGCGTCACTTATAAAAACGCTCTCAAAATCTACGATTACATTCAATCCACAAAGCATCCAACGGCAAGCATCGTGCCAGCTAAGACGGTATTGCCCGCCAAACCAGCGCCGTTCATGGCTGCTTTCACAAGCAGAGGTCCCAACCCAATTTTACCGTATATTCTAAAGGTCAGATTATTCATTGATATACGTTTTTTATTTTTGTCTAGAGATGGATGATTGAACGTAAGTTTTTTTTTTTTGGTGCAAATACACAGCCAGATATCACGGCTCCAGGGCTTAACATATTGGCAGCATGGAGTGAAGTTTCCGGCCCTTCATATTTGGTCGACGATCATCGTTCTGTAAAGTACAATATTTTGTCGGGCACATCAATGTCCACACCACACGTGGCGGGTGCATTGGCTCTTCTCAAGGCCATACACCCCGACTGGAGTAGCGCCGCCTTACGATCCGCCCTCATGACCACCGGTAAAACCACAAAGTTAAATTTTTTAAGGGTAAAATTATTTTTTTCCAACCTGTACTATAATATTATAATACATAGCTTTTGGTTTTTGCAACCTCCTGTAATTTTCATGGTAAAATGCAACTTACATTTTGACCGTACACGTGTCTATTTTTGCGGATAATCGTATGGACAAGAAGTAGGCAAGAGTGTGCAAATTATGAGTGTTTATAAAGTTCATGTTGCATTTTACAAATGGAAAAATTCTGTAGGTTGCAAATCCCAATAACACGTATATAGAACACGATGAAACCAATGTTTTACCCTAAACAAACTTGGAACATATCTAGTGGAACATTGTTTATTTTGTGTTGTATGGCATGGAGAAAGAAAATTAAAAAAGTTATTGGTTAGTGTTAATTGTGATTTCGTTCGTGATGTGTAAAATTGTAATTTGTTGGAGAAGAGAGATAAATTGAATTAATAATATAATATATAATTGAAGTTGTGTAGAATGATTTCTACATCCACAAAGACTTTTTAGACATTTTCATGCCACATAGAATAATTTGTGCTATGTGGAAACAAAATAGAGCAATAGAAAGGTTATTGGAGATGCTATTAGGAATAGTGTGTTCTTACCTTTGACCAAATATATTTTTCCCATTTTTTTTTTGTCTCATTTGATTCTAATTGTTCGAACTCATAGCCGACTTGATCGACAATGAGGGCAATCCAATTACCGATGCATATGGCAATCCGGCCGACCCGTTCCAATACGGGTCGGGCCACTTCAACCCGACAAAAGCGGCCGACCCGGGACTCGTGTACAACGCTTCATACACGGATTATCTTCTCTTCCTATGCAGCATTGGAGTTCATAATCTTAGTTCTACTAAATGCCCGAAAAACCCGCCACATCCTTTTAATCTCAACTACCCGTCTCTGGCTATACCCAATTTGAACGACACGGTTACCGTTGTTAGGACTGTCACCAATGTGGATTGTCATGGGCCGGGAGTCTATTTCGCCAGTATTCAGCCTCCACCTGGAATCTCCGTGGAAATACGGCCTTCTGTACTCTACTTTAGTCGAGCTGGTGAGAGCAAAAGTTTCACCATCACGGTAAAAACTGAGGGTGGATTTACGGGCACGATCAAGAAAGGAGAGTATTCGTTCGGATGGTTCAGGTGGTCGAACGAATTTCATGTTGTCCAGAGCCCTATGGCTGTTTCAGTACTGTAGTTTTATATATACATCAATAAAATTGTATCAACAAGATGAAGAAAAATTAAGACAGTAAAGACTTTATGTTTTGAGAAATAAGCTAAAGGTTGTTAATTAATATTGCTCCACATTGAGTAATTAAAAATGATTATTGTTATTTTGTTTTGTTGGTTTTGAATCCCAAGTGAATTGATTTCTCTTTGTGTTTAACGGTCATCCTGATGAGGAATTAGACCACAACATCTACTGCATATTTTTAAACTAAAGTGTCATACTAAATAAAATAAAATAAATGAATGGGATAGTTCATAGCCTAATAATTATACATTTCTATTAAAAAATATGGCGAAATAATATGTAGTTAGAACACTTCATGCCAAAATTTGTATTTAATTACATATCATGTGCCCCAATCTAATTCTTGTAAGGACCTGAATCTGAAAAAATAGGAGTAAGAGATTCACCACCCACAATCCTAATAATTAGTAAAACGGCTAAAGCTAGTGTATATTGTTATGAAATTGTGGAGGGAATTTCCTACTGAGTAGCTCCATAGGAAATAGTGTCCAAAAATTGGATTTTTTCGAACTTCAATGAGTTATTTTTTAATCCGGAAAAATAAGTTCGATCCAGCGTAAGCCAATATGAAATAAAATTTGAAAAATAGATTGGATAAAAACGCAATCTTGTTACAGCATTAGGTTTGGTCTCTAACTGATGGACAAATGTTTTATGAACGATACAAGAAAGAGGAAAAAAGTAAAAAACACACAAAGCAGCAATTTTGAAGTTTTATGTACATAGTCATTCAATTTGTTTTGTCATTTTAGTCACATGTCAAAATCGTGTTTCTCTGGCTTGAATGATGGGCCCAAGAAGAAAACTGAATCAGTAAAAATTCTATTTTCGCTTGGTCCACTTTTAACTTGTGCTTTTTAATAAAGCTTGCATGGTCAACACAGTTCATATTGGTTCATCACAAGTGCCACCTCAGCCTTTATGCTCCACGAGTGCAGCTCATGCAAAGGCCATGCATGCTCATGTCATGACAAATGACAGCAAACATCCTAGTACAAGTTGTTATAGAGTTTTGTCTATTCCTAGCCATGTGTCACCAATCTAGAACCTATGTTTTAGATGAATGGTAGAGATCATATTGATTGGTTCTATATATATAGTAAGCAGATGCACTGTAGCCGAGATTGAGCAGAATTTGTAAACCCTAAACTAGTGAAAAGAAAGCTATCATCTTTGTTCAAGCCTTGTTGATCTTTTGCTTTCTTAGCAATGAATATCAATTTTTCCTTTTATGGTATCAGAGCTGGTTAGCCAAACCAGCTTCTGATTTTTTCTCTTTTCGTTTTCTTTTATTTCTTTGAACTCCATATCTTAAAATGGCAACACAAATCTCAGATCCCATAATCCAACCACAAAGTCAGCTTATAAGTATAAAGCTCTCTGATTCTAATTATCTCATATGGAAGCAGCAAGTGTTGGCAGCAGCTAGAGGCCATGGACTCGAAGGATATCTCAATGGAAACAACAAAATCTCAGATGAGCATATCACAGATCCAGATGCAGACACACCAAGGCCAAATCCAGCACACATCTTTTGGGTCAAGCAAGATCAACTCCTTGCTTCATGGCTGCTCTCATCCCTCACAGAATCCTTGCTCATTACCACTGTTGGCCTCACAACATCCAGAGAAATATGGGAAGCTCTAGAGACAGCTTTCTCAAGTCGAAATGCTGCCAAGGTAATGTAATATAAGTTGAAGCTGCAGACCACCAAGAAGGGGACTGGATCTATGGAGGATTACCTCAACAATATCAAGTCCTATTGTAAGGAAGGCTTTAAGAGATTGTAATATCCCTTTTCATGATAATGAGAATCACAGCCTTTGTTCTGCTTGCATGAAATCCAAAATGCACAAATTACCTTTTTATGCTTCTGATGTTAAAGATTATTCACCTATTGAGTTCATACACTCAGACCTTTGGGGGCCAGCTCCTGTTAAGTCCTTTCAGGGGTTCACTTATTATGTATCATTCATAGATTACACAAGTAGGAACACTTGGGTATATCTTCTCAAACAAAAATCAGAAACCTTTGATGCTTTTGTTCATTTCAAAAACTTTGTTGAGAATCAGTATTCTAAGAAGATAAAGGTGTTTCAAAGTGATGGAGGTGGTGAATTCATGAAACTAGCAAAATACCTTTCTGAAAATGGGATCAAACACCAGATATCTTGTCCTTATACCCCAGAGCAAAATGGGTTAGCAGAAAGAAAGCATAGACACTTGATACAGGTTGCATTATCCCTTTTAGCACAATCTAATCTTCCTTCATGTCATTGGGATGATGCAGTCTGTAGTGCTGCTTTTATAATAAATAGAACTCCCAGCAAAGTCTTAAACCTTGAAACACCCTATGAGATTTTAAATGAAAAAAAGCTAGATTACACCTTCCTCAAATCCTTTGGTTGTCTTTGCTATCCCTTAATGAAGCCTTACAACAAACACAAGCTTGAGTACAAAAGCCAACCTGGAGTATTTCTTGGCTATAGCAGTAAGCACAAAGGATATAAGGTTATGCTTGAGAGCAAAAAGGTGATTCTTACTAGGCATGTTTTGTTTGATGAGACACAATTCCCCTACAGAAACAAGGAAAATAGCATAAAGTCCAAATCACACAAAATGAGAAAATAGAAGCTAAACATGCTAATCAATTTGGATTGGGGTGAATTAACACTAATCTCACTAGAAATTAAGAGCAACAAGCAACAAGAGAATAATGCAATTAACACTACCGGAATCTCTAAGCCATCAACATCAACCAAAATCAACAACGAGAAATATGCAAGTTCTAACACTAGATCACTAATCCTAACCTTCTAACCTAAGTGATTAAGCTCTAAATAGAGTCCTAACCCTTAATCTAGATAGGCAAGCAATTAGTCTCTACTAAAACAAGCATGAACAATGATCAAGTCCAAGCACATCCTCCATCATCAAGCAAACACTCAAATTCACCTTGGAAAATTCCATAAGTAAAATCGAGACAAAAATCGAAGTAATAAGCTTTAAAAGTAAATACTCAATCTTCTATTGCGTGCTAGACGAAAATCGGAGTCAAAAGCTCGGAACTTGAACAAAATAAAACTCGCCAGAAAACTCGTCGAAAAATGATGTCATAGAGCTCCCAAGAGAGAGAAGAGAGAAAACTAAAAAGAAAAGCTTAATTCCTAAAGTAGAAAAGAGAGAAATGAAATCTAGATAGCCAAAATACAAATGGCCAAAATGTATTTATAGTGCAGCTCAAAACACACACTAGTTTCACGCACATTTAATGAGAGATACTCTCGAGCTGGCGAAAATTTCCGCAGGTCGCGGACACGGATGGCACGGGGTGCGGCACGAGGTCGGCGCGAGGAAGAGCGATGCTCTCGAGCTGGCGGGAGTTCTCGCGCGCGCGGACGGTGCAGGGTAGTAGCACTCTCGACCTGGCGAGACGGCTGGCGAGGCGCGGGCGCGGGAGATCGGGCACTCTCGTGCTGGCGGAAGACGTCGCGCGGCGCGGACAGCATTGGCACGAG